CGACTTCGTCAAGATGACGAATGTATCATCAAAGTATCGAAGCCAAAGTTTTGGCATGATTCTTGGTATTACCTTCTTCTCCAGCTTCTACATTACGGCTTCGGCTATGAATCCAGAAATTGACGATCCAATTGGTGTTCCTTTCAGCTGTTCGTAGATTTCACCCTCGAATTTGAAGTACGGCTGCATGCATAGTTCCACGAGTTCGCAAATGGCAGCTGGTTCCGTTAGTGGGTTTGGTGGGTGCTCAGTCACCAGTTCCCGCAACGTGGATCTTGCCAGGTCCAAGTCCATTGAAGTGAATAAAGCGGTGACGTCGAATGAGACGACTGATTTCACGCTATCTATTTTCTAACACCACTGCTTACGATACATTTAACCGTGCCTAATCTGGAAATTTTATTGTCTTCAATCTCATACTGACTTGTATCTAATGCAGCCTCTGTCTATGTTTCATTCGTCAACCCAACAGGGTATCCATTTTCTTTATCCGGGAACAAAGCCAACATCAGTTCTCACCTTTGCAATTCGGCATCTAGCTATTAACACCACTGAAAGTTAGTCACTCAGTGTCTCAAATCAACTTGGAAATGGTATTTGCGACATCGATGAGAAGGCTTTTTACTGACAAATGAACACTGACTAGGCATAACTGCTCATCTCCGAAGCTATTTGCTTGTGTTTGTATTCGAGGAATCGCTTCCTCAGTTGAAAAGGATGGTAACACAGCCTACCTCAAACATTTATATTTCAAACCTTTGACTCTGTGAGCCATTACGTAATTATCGGATAACAAGTACCAGCCGCTATGGAGAAAAGACTTCGAACGATCATTATTCACATTTCTTCTTCAGGCACAAGCTTCAGTTGATCTGTACACTCAGGGAGCGCTAGACTCAACTTTCGTTCTAGTTGAGGCTCACCATTGGTGTCTATCCGCCTAGGATGAAAATTCCGATCTTTCTCGTGGAAGGTATGCGTCACTACCTTGATAAACAGCTCACACCGGGGGCTGACCCAAATTACCAATTTAAGTTTACTCAAATTTTACTGACCGAGGCTAGTTCACATGTCCTAATGATATTGAGTCTGTCACTGTCAATGTAAGCCAAGGTGCATTATCCGTGCCATTTTGTCCCCTTCTCTTCTCCCTTCCCCTTACATTCGAAATTCACCACTGGCCCCAACTTTTTTCACGTTTAAGTATGCTTAGTGTTTAGTTGAGCACATAATAACCCTTAAATCAACCCCCTTCAATCAATCATAAGCTCGATTTGACAACTCAAATGTTGAAAGGTCACAGTATTTTAAATATCTTGAGTGCTTTCTGTCTGGGGACCTCACATAGTTCTACCAAGCGCAAAAAACTTTTCTTAAAGTCAGAAAGTTGACGTTTTACATCTCACGCCTTCGACACGTAAGGGTGCCGTTGTATGTTATTTCTAAATTTATTTTCTCGTGACCTTTAGACTTTGTGCTTACCCATCCCCAGTTATCTTTCACGATCGGTTGTCTAAGGATATCGATCAGACGCCTTTTGACAAGCATTGCTATATATGGAGCTGTCCCTTATATGGCGCTGATCGACTCCACTGTCAACCAACACCTTGATGGATGCCACCGTTTATTTTTCAGCCTTATCTGATGTACGCATACTGTACACTCAAACCGTTCTCGCTCCATCACCATTTCTGTCACCCACAATAAATTTGAATCCGTATACACTTGCACCAAAACTTTTCACATTTCTTCTGTACCTTTTCTTTCTCGTGCATTGGTTTCCTCCGCACGGTTATCAAATGAACTGAGACAATCTCACATAATTGATGCTGAAGCTTCTACTTTTGCTGCATCTTCTCGCTCTTCATCCTCATCCTTATGTACTGAATGTCATATCTTTTGATCGCACGTAAGCAAAATATTAAAATTGATAACTTTTTCCCTGTAAATTCTGTCCACAACGGATGATAAAGTACATTCTTTACTTGACTTGAACTGACTTCATCAGAGATAATCAATCAGTTTTGTGCCCGATAGCATCTAAGAATTAGCAATATTCAACCTTTTAACTCTAACCGAAAACCTTCCCTGAGACCCAGTTCATTTAATTCCGAATCCCCATAAGCAAAGCCTCTGTACTCGGGGGTCATGAGGCAAAGAACAACAACGGTCAATGAAACGTGAGCTGTTATGGACAAGAAATTATGGATACATATCACGGAATAGTTCGAACAAGATTTTTCGTGCATTTCTATGGTTAAGTGAGGGTAGGGGAGGTGCGCTTGTGTGAATCTGTGTGTGTGAGTGTGTGTGTGTGTGTGTACGTGCGTGCGTACGTGTGCAAATAAATATGTACAGTGTATGCAACTAGAATGATCATAGATACAGTTCAGTTTTGAGCGAGTTGTGTTCCAATAAGAAGATTCTGAAAACAAGCATCTTAAATTGGACGCTAAATCCGGCTGAATAGACGCATTTCATCGAGCTCCGAATGAATCATAAGCCACGAAGATATCTTTGTTGAAGATTCATATCCAGGTTGTTTTTCGAACAGATATAATCGAATCTTGACTTGTTTTTTTTGGATTGTGATGCCATTGTTATTATCGTTCACTCGTCGCCTGACAGTTACAGTACCGGAAGCAGTCGATCGAAGCTATCAGTATATCTGCAAGGACAGAGTGAGAAAAAAAGGAAATTCTCAGTAAACGAGATGGTTACTTCTTATACATGATATTCGGTGTCCCGCTTTCCCCAAATGTAGGAGTCAAACACTGATCTATTTATGTGTCAAATGAAACGAAGTAACCTTGTAACCAGTGAGCACAAAAAAATCCCATTTGTTTTATCAGTGTCCCAACGAAATCTAACGGTAAATACTGCTCGCAAACAGCTTGAGCAGACGACCGTAGTAATTTGTAATGCTATGTTTCGATGAACTCATTTAATTCAATCGACAACTAAGCACTGTCTGTGATCATGTATTTTTTTCTAGGTTAAACTCCCTGGAAGATCATCCCCCACCAGACGCAATAGAACCTAAAAAATCCCAGCTCAACGATAGGCAGTGCCATTTAGACTTGAATGATCTCATTCACTGAAGGCATCCTGAACAAATTAATGTACCCATCAATTGAACAGTACTGTTTTATGCTGCTTAAAAGTGTCCTAAGCTTTTTTCATGTTTTATCTTTTCCAAAAATTATATAGGGAACTTTTAAAAGTTTACCTTTTTCTCTGTTAGCAGTGCTTATCCGGACTCAGTGATACGAAACTACCGTCACCGATCTATTATCACGGCAGGAGTTATATTCGAATCACATTTGTCGGCCTACCGCATTAAAGTCAATGTAGATATACTTAGAAAAAATGCTTGGACTAGAAGCACCCCAGAGAAGGCACAGAAGCTGCTTGCAATTAATTGTCATCGTGCATCAATCGGTAATTGACGTCTGTGAATATAAGATACGATCATTTGTAACTATTCATTGTGTTGGGGATGACAGACTAGTGTACGCTTTTTCCCTAGATAATTGATTCCCTCGAGTCACGCAACGGTCCTAATCCGCGATAGTGTGTTGTTAATAGAACACAGGGTCCCGTATGCGGTGATGGAGTTCGTTGAGATTCGGTCGCGTTGTACAACCGGGTTGGTTCAACCTGAGCGATGCACCCGAACGTGTCTATAGCTTAGCTCCTTCGTTGACGGAAGACGGCTGGTCAAATCCCCTTACCCATCTATGCCAACCGACCGGCGCCTGTAAAAACCCATGTGATGTGACTTTTTTGGGATGAGGGTTGTGAAGATGTCGGAAGCACACAAAAAATGGTGACTGTTTGGACCAAATGTCAGATTGGTTACATGGTTCGATGATTCAAGGGGGAGCGCTGATCGAATCGATCATGCTGGTTTCCAAAGCCGTTGTTCTTTTGCGTGGTCCATCTCCGAACGTGGTCGATGCAATGACGTATGTGAAATCGTACAGAACAATGAGATCGAGTCAGTTGCACCGTCTTGTCTCATGCACTTCGCTATCTATTGCAAACAAACAATCAACGAGATTAAGCGTGTGCTCAATTGCAACTGACTATGTAACTCAACCGCAACGATTGGTGCGTTGGACGTGTAAACGTTGATTAGTGAGCACATATTGTATGGTTCCTTGTGCGGTTCGTGAAGAACGTGGGAATAAAATTCACCTGTGGATGATAGTTTCTGTGTGAAGTTTCTGTGCACTATTTGGACTGTTTTAAGTGAGCAGTATGAAAGTAAACACGTTTGCTCGTTGGAGCAAGATCTTCCCCGAGTATGTATCCCAGTGACAGAGAGAGGGTGGTGGAAATCTGAAGCTGTACTGCTGCGTATACACTATCTATGTGCATTGGTGTGTGTGTGTGTGGGGGGGGGGGCATTCTGATCGTAGTGAGCGTTTGTTTATGAATTCAATGAATTAGCTCAACGGCTGTTTCCAGGTAACGGGATGTTCTCGTAACCAGTTTATACTTTCTCAGAAAGTGTTTTTCGTCTGTCATTTCTATCACAATCATTTATCGTTCTTTAGCATAAACATAAGTGTTCGGAATATGCTGTTGTCTATCAGCTATACTAGGAGCGAATAAAATTGCTTCTATAGTAACCGATTGATAATTTCCAAATTCACTCTTCCACCCTTTTATCAGAATTAATCTCTGGTTTTCGGTAAATGGCTGAAGTTGAGATGAAAGCACTTTGGACCGATGCTTCGTCACCGCTATCAGAAAATGATTTATCATACCATATTCTTTGTCTGTGTGAGCATGATATCACGAATATTTAAGGATGAGAATATCAACTTGTTCAGACCACACACCGATTCAACCAAGCTGATCATCACTGATAGACGGAGTAGAAGCGTACTACACCCCATTGGAGCACTACGGAACGTCATTCATTTTGCGGTTGACCAAACACAGTCTGTTCGAGCTAAGGTGTACCAGTTTCGATGACAACTTTCGGCCGATCAACCAGACCGAGAATAGGGTCGATTCGGTGAGCGTGTGTGTGCACGCGTTGAATCACAGGCTGGTTTGGGTGTGATATGTCCATGATGTCGTGATAGGGGACTGGAAGCAGGGAGGGGTAGTGGACGGTCACAGCCTTGTTTGACAAGTGCACACACACACGCATGGCAGTCCTCGATTGAGTTCAGTCCGGTCCAGCATAGTTCAGTACGGGTTGGACTCCCGAATGAAAACCCAGGAGTGGGGACCAGCAAAAGGAATTGATTTCTGGTACTGTCAACATACATGATGACCGGTGAATCCTGAACTGCAAAACAAGCTACTCAACCTCAGATACACAACAACAATCGATTTTATTTTTCTACGATATGTCTGTCCAAAGTTCATGGTATGAAGAATGTAGGACCTTTAATTACAAACGTATATTTCGGCATCACACACCCAGTATGTTGACCAATGGATGCGGTGAACTAAAGGAACTATGAATTGTATTGAAATAGTCAGTGATAACGGAAGTCAAAATTCCTTCGTTGTCTCTGGGATTTCACCCTTTTTGGGTCAATATTTTCCAAGTATGTATCGCCATATATGAACAGTGTAAAAATAAAAACAATACTCGCTACAGCCTACAGTTATGGGAACTAGAACGATAGGCAGTAGAATAGTGGTTGGTGAATCCTTTAAGACCCCTGCTGAAGAAGTGTGATGTCGGTGTGGGCAACTGCGTAACGGCTTGCGAACAGGTGCGAACCTAACCAGTAGCAGAAGTTGAAACTGGCTTAGATCAAATAACTGTAAATTAGAACAGCAGACGATTTACTTGTTTCTACATTCCAATCGCAGTCTTCGAAAGTCAAAGAGATGCTTGTGTATCTTGTCCAACTTTCAGACTTTTAAAACAAATGAATGATATTTATCAAGTCGAGGAAAAGCTGAACAACTTTCTTATTGCATATATTTTTGTGTGATTAACAGCAGACTGGGTGAACCCCATGGTGGCGCAGACCTGCTATTCAGTGATGGTATCCGGGACTATGAGTGGCGAACCACATAAGGCCAGACTTAGTTAGGTGTGGTATTGAACTGGATGGCAGCAAAGCTGTCTCACTATCGGCCAGTACACATAATGCTGGTCAATCATGTTACATTCTCCCAAGACTTTGCCTTGTACAGATTCATCCGCCTTTGTTCGTGGATGTCCATTGCGTTTCAGATCTCTTAAAGTTCCGACAGATTGAAATTGCAAAGGTGAATTCGTTGTATATATAGCAAATGAAGCGTGAACTGAAAAGCTAGGAAGCACTGCATAGCTGGTTCGACCTGGTTGCGTCTCATCAGCAGTGCTAATCCATCGACCTANTGATCATCAGAATCATTTGCCAAGTGGTGTTTGGACGGCCACTGCCATCTATTATCTATCTATCTAGTGACATTATTAAAACATGACCTCATAGGCCACGAGGATTCTGGATTCATTTGGTGGATCTATCTTAAGGTTCACAGCACGCTAGTTGAACTCATCATCACTCATTATTTTTCCTTTGAATTAGTCAGTAAGAAAGAGATTTCTAGGTCTTGATGATAAGTTTAAGGTTATCAATCGGTAAATGGATGGAGTTTGCGTGGAGAACGTTGCACCTTAGTTCAGTGTGGGGAGAAAGCGAACACATCCTATTGCGGAATAAGACGATAACATCAAACCAGGTTGGAACAAGGAACATGAGGGGTTGGAGAGATCCAGAGATGTCTGCCTCAGAGAGTTACCACGGGACAACTAGTCCATCTCAAGCTAAAAGGCTACTGCGAACTTTTTCACCATAATCATGTATGGAATTTATATCTCAGTTAGATAACATCAAATACACTGGCTATATATCGAGGAAAACAANCCCACTCGGCCACCGGGCAGCTGATCAGACCGTTTTTCATCTTCCATTTACACGATATAGCACAACCCATCTTTGCGAGCTTGCTGCGGGCCACAGACCCTGCTCATCTCAGCACAAGCCTCCGGGTTATGACTCGGTTGGAAGAATTTACAATGTGACTACTTATTTGCTATACACATGAAATCACCTTCGAAATTGAACCAAATCCTCTATTACTCACTTGAGATTAAAATTTATCAGCGCTTCTGCAATGCTTCTAGTGATCGGCGTTGCACAAGTGTTGTGAACTAAAACTCTACTGCCGCTCACAGGTTCGAAAATCACACAATTGATCGGGTTTATTTAACGACCGGTCAGAGGGTTCAGCTGCAAAAAGGGATGTGATGCTTTCCCAGCTAGCCTGAGCTAGAATCCACACCTTGTCCACAGCCGCGAACCCGTGAACTTCGACAGAAGGAATGCTGGACAACCGGTGACAACAGGAGCATTGCAAACATTACGAACTGGTGATCAGTCAGTCTCGTATCAGATTAAGGGATTCCAAGTTGCGTAAATTGGGGGAAATAAACCAATCAGATCAGGAAGAGCGTCCGAGAGAATTTAGATTTTTCAGGTTGCGTATGAGAAGGACAAGACGATGTGAACCGATGAGTTAATTCCACTGTATTGGTGTCATGTCGTTTAAATGCATTACTCTTAAGAAACAGCAACTTTAGAATTCGGTAAGTTACAAGGTTACAAAGTTCTATACTGTTACGCCTCACGGTAGAATTTCGATGCGAACCACTCGGTCGATCCCCAGTTAGGTCGATGGATTCGCACTGCTGATGAGACCCAACCAGGTCGAACCAGCTGTACAGTGCTTTTCAGCTCACACTTCATTTACTCCATACACGAAGAACTCCCTGTATGAAACTTTTATTCACCTGGTTATCGAAATGAAATTCCGTCACTGCATCGATAAATTCGACTTGCATCTCAATCATAACCGATGTAACCCATTCATTGTCAATACAGACAACACAGACAAATCCAAAAACAGTGACTGATAGTGTCTAAACAACAATATATCCAAACTTATGCTTTTTAGGATCAGATAAAGTAGTCAAAACTTCAGGTGGATTTTTCCAGTGCTAGAAATTCAGTGGAAAGTAACATGAATTCGAACCCTAAGTGAACTAAGGTGGGCGGGGGTGTGCAGAGATTTGTAGCTATTGCGAGAGAGGTGTGCTATTCCGCCGTTTGGCTTTATTGCTTGTGGTTTTGTCCTACTCAGAGTGCAGCAAACTTTCATTCACAGAAGATTTGTGATCATACTTGAGTTATTCAAACTAGGACCTCTTTTATACATACGAGCTTCATTCCCGTATCACAAACTAATTTCTGTCATTATGAATGCACCTCCGATGTAATCCTAACTATACAACATATTTTGATTCAACTTACCGTGGCATTTGGGAATGAGTATCCAGCATGATATTTCGCTCCGCATCCCGCGTCAACGATAGATTGTTCTCGTCAGTGGGATTCTTCTGACTATTGTTCTCAGTTAGCACTGGTTTACCTAGTTGATCGCAAGCCAGTGCAACACTACCGATATTGTCGGTCCCGGTCCAGGATTTCCACATACGCCAATAGGCTAAATCAGGATCTAGACCACTGGGGGGCCGGTTCGTATCAGTTAGGCGACTATGCTCATTCTGTTGTAGTTGTAATTGCTGTTGTTGTTGCTGCTGCTGTTGTTGTTGAAGATGGTCTTGTGGTTGTGCAAAAAATCCCCTAGAATTTGCACTTCTCTCAACAGAAGAAACATCTGCATATATCAATGTCTCGGATTCTTGGTCGGCGGGTGGAATGGGTACCGACCTTGATGCTCGGTTGGTTTGACTTGTATTCCCGGTCAACAGAGGGGATACGGGAGTTTCGACATGAGTTTGGGGAAGTTTAATCAGCTCGCGTGTCAAGAACGCATGATTGGGTGCGGGACTGGATACTGGCAAATCTGTACAGCTGATCAACTCGCCCTGGGACCAATGTTGAGCATGCATTAGGAGGGACTTTTGAGCTCGATCCTGTACATTAGGAATGTCGCTCAGTGAATTTATTGGTGATTTGTAATCGTTGTTTAATGTGTCTGGTTTGTTTATCTGGGGATATTCTACTCGGGATTGTTCTTGAGGATTGTAATTGCTAGTTCTTAGATCTCCTGGATATAAAAACTCGGTACCCATGGCATTATTCGAACCGGTAACATCATACATTGCATTTGCCGCCGTAGAACCTGAAGAATGAGCATGACAACGATGATGGTAGTGATGTAAGTGAGCTGCACATCGTCTTCGAGCCGCAGGGCTACCAAGTGGGGGTGTCATGGCTACCATAGCAGCTGCAGCAGCCGCCGCTGCGGCCACAGCAGACACACGTTCAGGGCAGTAGAACGATGCGCCCGGTTCGGAATCGGGGCTGAAACAATTGCCCAAGTGAGACACATCACTCACTGCCGAATGAAAATGATGTGGATGTGTGTACGAACGTTCGTAGGTATAAGATCCCTGTTCAACGGTTTCCTCGTACCAGTGAGAGCGCCACACACGACGTTCCGTGGTCGTGCCAGCTGCACGACCGGCAAGCCAACCGTTCATCGGACCTGCCGTTTCTGGCGGAGAGGAACCGGATACCGTATGCACTGTATTCGAACGAAATTTGTCCACGGGAGCGAATGGATGCATGCCTAATTCCGACTGGACTAACAAGCTGTTCAACTGACTTTCCTGGGCCACACCATACGGATTATTCCGGTTTGTATCATCGGTACTTTGAACGGGCGGCGATTCTGATTGCGAATCGAAGCTACCCAGGTAGTTCAACGGGGCTGTATTCGAGCTTGTTTGTGTGACCCAGTCTGAGGATGTGGGTGATCCTGTGCTGTCGTTTACATGTTTTCTGCCATGATTATCTGTCGATAGCGGTCCGATGTTAGGTGTACGCAACGACCACTCGGAATTCGACCAAGGAAAGTAATTCGGATAGGGATCGGATAAAGAAAGGGTAGTTCCCGTTGACATAAATAACGGTTTGACCGGATCGAGCGAACTCAGCACTGATCCGACATCCGCGGTCCGTGTTGTAGACAAGAAATTCTCCAGTCCTGTTGCAACAGTACTACTACCATTGAGCGATTCCGGACTTTCGCCACCTGGTCGACTGTTCATTTGCTTGCTTGAATTAGATCTCGTAGATCGGGATTCGTTGATTTCCACACTCGGTGTATGGGCCATAGAGGAGGCTAGTGAAAATGAATCAAAAAGAGATTGTTTCGAATGATCCAACCGAGGAATCATAGACACATTTGCTGGGACATCGGTCACCAATCCTGAACTATCTCTACTTGATCCATGTCCACTGTTCAGTGATTTGTCACCATGGTGATTTACCTAAAAGCGGAAGTTAAGTAGACATTGGTTCATATGAATTGCTAACTGAAAGACAGTTATATCAAAAGTAAAATTGATTAAATGTCACTGAGTTAACAGACTCCAAAGAGGTGAGACCTGAGTGAAAAAGGCAACACTTAGGCCTTTATGTCTGCCAATTTTTATGGATCAAAACTAATAACAATAATAGATTCAGATGATATACAGACAATCTGTTTTTCCTTAGTAGCGCAGTTTGATGTTTATATTTTCACTTCCAACCCAACGGTTCATGATTCCAGTCCGGATAAAATTCGGAAGTGTGTAAAATTAAGACACTAACAAAGTCCAAATAGTTACTCAGTGGTCACAGTAAATGACACTATCGCAAATAGCATTAGTCAACTTTGAGAAATTCAGTCGATTAACTTGTCAACATTTTCCATGAATACTCCGAGGATCATCTGTCAAAGTTAGTGGCCGTGAATTGGGTGTTCATTTTGATTTGGAACAGTTCAGTAAGATAAGTTTCTCAGATTCCTATGACATTAAGTTTTCAACAGATCAGTGTTCTATCCATAATTTGCAGAAAAGTATTTTTGCTCTAAAATGAACCCTGTGCTTATCGCTGTTTCACTGCGTTTACTTGTAGTGTTATTTATGGTAACGCGTGCATTGTGGTCAAAACAAGAATTTAAAAAACAACGCGCAATGGTTTTTTGTTGATTACAAGCGCATGCGAAAAGAACATCCTATAGAATGATTAAGGAGAAGAATGTGGCAATAAACTCATACCATTTCTCGCAATGTTTTTTCGGTATCTTTTCTGACGTTAATCAGTCGACAAGGATCACATGGGCAGTTACGAAACGGACATGTTTTCTTATGTCCTTTCCAAGTCACCGCCAGCGAATGGTTTCGACACCGTCGACAATGCGGACCGGCTATATTAACCCCGGTAGTTTCACCAGCGCCGCCATCGCTGCTATCATTTGTGTCCACTGCTGTTTTTCCTGAGCTCGTTCCCGCAGAACAGACCAAGGATGAAGAGTCGAAATCTAATGTGGATAGAATTTCGGGACCTGTTCCGGTTCCCGAGACCTTAGGTGTATTTGCTCTGATTCGTTTGAACTCCGCATTCGTCTGTGTGTGCCCGATGTGATTCCAGCTACTGTGGGAAAAACTGCGACGTTCGTTTCGCAAACCCGAGCTGATCTGACCATTTTCCCGACCGGGACCGCCTTTCTGATCTCGATAGAGAGCGATTTGACGAGCGACAACCTGTGATATGGTATAACAAGAAGGAGTATATGACCGCAGCTCAAAAAACAACAACTGAGCTCTAACTGAGACAATTATATCACTTTTGTCGAATTCAGGTAAAGTTAGTATCGACACACCAGATGACCTAGAACGTGGCAAACGGGGATCAAATGTTATTATATAAAAGAAGTTTCGAACAGCGAAAACTTCTTCACCCTTTTGACCTCAGCTGCACTCCAAACCTTACTCTTTCGAAATGTATGCTTTCTTTGCGATGGACTCTACCCAGTAGGTACATTTTCCAGGACACTAACAAGTCCTGGATTTAATTACACTTTGTATATTTTCTATTTCCATCCTATTTCGATTTTTTCATGCAGTCAAATTTAGTTAACAGGATTTAGAGTTTTTCTTATGTGCGGAAAGAGTGCAAAGCGTCTCATTGATGTGGCATCGTGTATATGCATGCATATGTACATATGTATATCATCGTTTCTTGCCCTCACGCACTACTACTTAGAGAAACTCCACTCTAAACAATTTCAAGCTAATCCTTTCAAATAGGGTGCTGGTCATTTTTGTATCTACACTATTTCCTCTTTTCCGTTGAGTTTGAGGATAGTCGTCTCAAAACAAAAACAAATACAAAAGTTCACCTCTATTAAACATTTATACAAGACCACGCTCGATGTGGTAAAAAAACGCTGGGCTCTGGATTTCATCACTCGCTTCATTGGCTTATTAATCGTCGAATGTTTACATCGCTGAATCTCCACGGTCAACGGTTGGGGCAAACGTGATTTGAGTTTTAACACTCCCACGCATGTCGTGAATTAGTAAGATTTGTTCACGCGTCGCCTGTGATTGGTCCGTCTTTGTAATCGTTTCTCCGCGCGCACCACACGCACCAATCAAAGTGACTCTACGTGCGTGGAGAGAGAAACGGATGCTATGGTAATCCGCGTGAAAAATGTTCGTCTCTCACTCCACCGGGCTTTGCGAGTACCATGAGGTCCTAATTGGACCAATCAGATGGTGTGCGCATCAGATGACTAACCATGAGGAGGACGCGAAATGATGAATCTCTCGCAAGATCAGACATGTGTTCCGCTGACAAGTAGTTTTGAGAGTTGAAGGGGTTTCATGCTCGCCAACGCGAAGATAAAAGCATTAAATCTTGTTCGGAATTGATTTTCTTCGAACTGGTAATCTCAGAAAATTCCATTACATAAATAATTATACTATATGATATTAAATATACTCATTAGTTTAAGTTATATAAAACCTTCATTCAATCATTTCATACGCATATGCTATGTCTATGTCAGTTACAATCTGGAAAAAACCATAGGTTGTTACATGACACAAATGAATTGCTATTTGAAAACATCCACAGTACGATTGCTTCATCGTTTCTCGTTCTTGTCCTCTTCACCTGTGAACCCAGATGATTTTTCTCTCGCCTGGTTTGCCGTCTGACTGGATCATTTGACAAGATTTGCGTCAACTTGACAACAGACCGCTGATCCCGAGTTCCTAATGTTCGTGATACACTCGTTGTCACCAGCTGTCCAGCCGTGTGGTGATGGCACTCCTATTGTGTGTGCACAATCGAAGTTGACGGGACACTCTACAATTTGAGGGGATTGACTCGTGTTTGCTGGACAAGCGTTACACCCACTGCTGCAGCTGCTCCACCCGACCGATCGATTAATAAACCCGATCGATCGTGTTTTCTGACTCAAATTGGAGAATAAGTTATGAACCATATGCTGCTGAAGTATTGTAAGAGAACAAGAGGAGGGCAAGTTCCGAACCGATGTACCATCCCGGAAATTCCGAATGTTAAAGTTTCCACTATGGTTCCATTGTTGCGTCTCCTCAATCGTTCTCAGTTTTAGGGGATAAGCTGTTTGTATTAGATATGCGAACATGAAGAAATCTTACAGAGTTGGATCTGGTGATCTTAGGGATCTTTCCGTTGAGCCTCCCCAACCGTTGAATATGGTCGGAAAGTTCCCGGGTTCACGTATTTTACATGCAAGACACGCGGTCGCTTGAAATGATTTCGCATCGGAGCACATAGTTCGTGCACACTGTGCGATTTCCAAGATAACAGGGTCAACAGCGTTTAGAAAGAAAAAAACGTTTGCGAATACTGAAATCTAATGTAAACATGTCATAGACTGTGATTAAGCTTCAAATATTCGTGAGCAACAATTCACCATTGATATTGTACGATGAACACTGTCTGCATGCCCATTTCCGGTCATAGATGAATGTGACAAGAAGATCGGAAACGATGAAGTAATCACAATGTATTCGTCAACTGCTCGAGGACCAATGAATTATTATTCCTGTGGGTTGTCAGAGAGTTCTGTATGTGTATCAAACCAGTGACATATAATGGATGTTTACTTCAATGTGCTGTTTATGCAAATACACACTCACATCCCTCTCAGCATACATTAGTGACGAAATACCCATAAACTAAGCTGAATCTTCTATTCGTATGATAGTTCAACTTTGATCAGATGCTGGTAATCCCAGTAAGCTCGTCTCCAAGGCCGCCGACTTGTACTGTTGTACTGTAAATGGTATTGAAATTGACTGGCTAAAATTTCCCCGGAAGTTCATGACTGGTTTCGTTTCTTCATCTGCTAGGTCAATCTATCCTTTTAAATTTTGGTTGTATCCCCAACAAGTTTACATTAGAAATATCTTATTGGCGTCTCGGTAATTCATTTTGATATGCTTTTGTCGTTGATTGATTCATGTATGAATGTTCGTGATCGGTCTAATTTGATTTTTTCACCTTCTGGTGGGTGCAGTATTCCTTGGTCTCTGACAGATCCCATTAGTCATTAACATATGATCAATGCTACACACATTTCTTTTTATAAAAACCCAAAGGAATTTTTCATGACACCGCAAAACTAAATCTTGCTGCTTGGTTAACTGATAAAATGCTGGAGGAGGGAGTTAAATTCTAACTGTTTAGGCCAGCCCGAAACGATCACACCCGGAAAATGCATTCTGAAAAGATAGATCCGTGCTGTCTGGACACAATCTTACTTTTCGTCCTTGATCCACAAGTTGACATTTCATACACGTACAGTGCATGTAAGGACATGCACGTTTGTGTCGTTTGACGGGGATGTTCTGACCATGTGTTTTACACTTGCGACACATGTAGGAAGCTCGCGAGCACAATGAAGCCACGCGATTAGCTCGACTGACGGATCCCAGTCCGAAGTCTCTATGGATGCTGCTGTGAGTGCGGCCGTTTGAGCCTTGAGCCCCGCGTGTCGCTAACCGTGATCCGAGGTTGCTCAGAGCGTCGCTGGAACCACGAGTACCGGTACGGTTGGTTGGCAATGGTCGATGCTGTTCGAACGCAGAAGAACCAAATCCCGAGCCCGAAAATGGCTTTGGGACCGAATTCATCTCAGTGACAGATTGCGAAGTCGGATCCAAATTTGACATGGCTAAATGATCTCCGTAGAGTACTTGACCAGAGGGATAGATTGGTTGAAAGGTGAGATTGAAACAAGTACTGGTTACACCGTTTGTGGCTAGGTTGGGATAGTTGTCATGTGTTGTACCCATTTGAGATGGAGCGTTGTTTCCACGGCTATTGAATGCAGACTGGCGCATGGAAATACCGTACGCTACGCCCGGTGATTGTGTGTTCAGTGAGCTGGATGAGGGTGATGTCGAAGAAACTGGATCGTTCGTATCGTAGAAAGTGGGAGGGACGCCGTTAGTTTGTATCACACTGTCGGGTGTATGAATATTCGGATCCAATAGGCTTTGGGTGAGGTCAGTTGGTTCCAGTTTTAATTGAGGGAATTCGGGTATCACTGACTCAGCAGTGAACCTGAATGAGGGTTGGAGGGAATGAGAACAGGAAATAAAGAAGGAAAACTCGACAGAGTTATATTGTGTACAAACTCAGTTTACTAATGAGCAATGATCAGAAAGACTGTAAGATGGTCCTAAATAAACGAATAAATAGTTCTGCTATAAATAAAATAGTGCATATTTGATTAGATTTGACAGTACGTTTCGGCCTCCAACTTGAATGGTTGCCATTGTATCAGTTCGGATTAACAGCTCAAGTGGGAGCTGTTTGGTTGAGTGCTTTCATAACACCGGAATTTGTTGTGTAACCATTCGTTCTGCCCTACAAGAATCAGCTGTAACTCGATGTGTTTGTGTACACTGGCCTACGTAATGATCTCACTGCTCAATACGGACAAAATGAAACTTATTGATGAACAAACGAATTCAACTGAAAAATGTTATATTCAGGCTGATTATAATTCTAGCAAATCGATTCGCATAAAAAACAACAAGAGAGTACAGATCAATCAATACTTGCTAATTTAATAGAGAAACTTACCAGTCACGCGGAGTCCAGTGATGATGTGTTGCCCACAGCTACAACAGTTGCTGATGTATGGTTTGGAATTTCGCAAAATATCTGTTTTTTTTATTCAAATACGATGACTGTCACAATCGGATTGCATTAAGACAAACTTATGGAATATCCCGAACCTTCTCTTGAAGACTTGTTGTTTGGGGTTATTTTTCAACAAATAATGTTGGTACTACTCACAAGAGTCAACTGTGACAAGTTCTCGAGTAATCCAATACACTCTATACGTACTCAGATACCAGTTGTATATATTCTCCAGCATGATATCGTGTACCATAGCTTTTTAATTTCACGTATTTTGATATCTGTTTCATGTGTCCAGTAACGATGTAGATGGTATTTTTTGGTACCTTGTATTGAAAGAAAGGGGTTTCCTTAGCTGACAGATAGGCTAATAGTTGCCGAGCGAAGTTTGAAATTCTCAAGTCGACCTCGAATCCCGTTTGGCAACGCAACACACGCGGATCAAATCGCCTCGACAGTGAGAGGTAGAGGAAGCGGGAGATTGATTAATTCCACGCATCTTCAGTCCGTCGGACCAGTCTGTTACTGTAAACGTTCATTGTCGAACTTTGAAATATGGTAACTGAAAAACGATACCGGGACGCCCTTAAGTAACACCCGGAACTATTCACTTTATACGTGGATCTAATACTATATGGTAGTCACTACCTAATGAAGTTTCAAATTTAAGCGTAAATTTCGCGGTTATTTCACTTTAGTGAGTACACAGTGAGCATTTCCCCACTCGATTAAACATTATCGTGAACGAAAATGATTGTGACGTTTTCGCTGGAACATTATAATTTTTTTAATTACCGGTACTTACCGACTGACATAACTCGCTTTGAGCAGCATTCTCTCAAAATAGACAAATAATCAATCGGCAAAACACGGCGAATCATCGACCGATTGAGGTGCTAGTCACCTCGAAAAGGACAGCAAAAATTCAAAAAATGTTAACCAAAAGTGCCACTGTTTCATCCAATGGCCGAAACGTTTGCGCATAATCATCATCCGCATATCATAGAGTCGTGTCAAATAAAGCGATCGATTGTTGCGACTAAGAATACTAAATATATGTTTTTCTCGAAGGCTGAATTACGGTGGGTTTTCAATTGAACACAGACAGACTGGTTAAGCCATTACCAAAAGAATAACATAAACATCCAAAGTTTTGGTGACGGTTAAACCTAATTTTTCGGTGACGAGGAGATCGTGTGTAAGGATCCTATCACAACTAGTAAAGATTCTTTACGCTACAGTTTGTCATTAGACAACCGCCTTTGATTGCTCGCGACACTTTCTCCTTAACACTGACTGTTATTGTATTTTCATGAAATGAGAAAACCGTAAAATGATCATTTCTGTTTAGTATTATTACGTGTATGGCCACTCGAATTGGTTTTGGATATTCCCGCTAATTTTTGTGGGTCCTGAATACGTACAGTGGATCTTTTTATCGGTACTTCAAACCAAGTGCACGAAATAGATGACAGTCCAATGCGAATATAAATCTACTTTGTTTTCAATCAGTAGGGAAGAAGTACACAGATTGATTTTCACTACGATTTAATTCCAACTGTACAGCGAACAACTAAATAGTTTCTTTGTTGACGTACTGCAATTCATGTAAGCTTATCAACTGATATGTATTAGCGACGGTTAATACAATAGTCACTTATCTTGAATTTCACTATCAAGCAAAACGACGTTTGTCCCCACCCAAATAGTTGCATTATGAAACGACAGTCAGTAGTATGATTGCCGTTCACGGACGAATAGGCTTTATTTGACCTCGTGTAATCATACCGGCATATAATGAAACAGCAAATTTAGTTGTTGTTTTTTTTGTTTTGTGAAAGTCCTTTCAGGCCATCATGATTAAGTTCAACGTTCCATATGCAACCTTTTTAACGGTTGGGATGTTCGTTACAAACGGATAATCACAGTGTGTGCGGCCAATTTTGTTCTCCGTGAACTATCGAGGAAACAGGTTGGATCCCCATCCAACCTGGGGAAAGGGAGGGGAGAAATGAAGAATCTATCCGGTCCCCGCCACCTGTTTACGATTGGTTCGTTCTTTTTTTTTTTATTGCTAGCCCTCATTTTAGACGTCGCCTTTCAAACGACACGGATGAAAAGTTGCGGGTTTCATAGCCATGAAATCAGTCCGGGGCGAGAGTGGAATTATCAACCTAATACAAGGCAAAAGCTAGGCACAGAAAATAAAACAGATCTGAAGGTGGTTTCATCTTTACGTCCGGACGATCGAGCTTCAAACGTATCAGGATTGTCCTACCCATCTGAATTAACCCAACAAAACAGCCGAATGCTGCTCCACGGATATTTTGTCCCAGATCGTTCGCCGGATCCGAATAGAGCAAGTGTGTCACAAACTGCAACTGCATTTATCGACGTCCGCTGCAGTTTAGTTGAGGTAAAGATGAGAGGCCGAGTAACAAGATCAGAGAAAGGAAAAAGGTTAAATATGGACGAGGTAAGCTGTTTCATCCAATAAGCCTGTTGACTTCTTACTGGTTGATTAGTATTTCGAACGAGAGGTATATTTAAAATAAACTAGAAGGAAAATTGCCCATATATATTTGTGAGATAAGAGTTTACAGGTCTAATCGAAACTGAAGCAACGGTTCCCTGTGCAACATTTGTGGATTCGTATAGGCAATAACATTGATACTAGTGTAATTTTTTTTCCAGATTATACTAAACAAGCCTTCCTGAGTCTTTATAACATTGGTTTTTCTGATTCGTTTATAATCAGCAGATGAAATGGTTCAAAATGATGCGGATACTTCCATTTCTTCAGTAGTGGTTGACCTAGATCATGATGAGTTAAAAGGTAAGTAAAGAGAATGGAATAGTTTTAATCTACAACAAATTAACACTGATAATAATTAACAAGTAAGGTTTGTGTACACTCATAGTCGATTGGTCTACCTTTGTTCTTTAGGACTTTTTCGAGTCTCTTCGGCATTGAATCCACCAACTTTATTATGAATTCATTTTCTATTTCGTGCTCCATTACGTAGCGCACTTTTGCCTCCGATGTTTAATGTACGGGTGGCAAATTGACCTCTCTCTTCAAAACAGAAAACAGATTTTTAATCACATTGAGATCCGAGCTATTAGGGGTAAGTTGCATGAACTGGACCCTATAGTCACGCATCTTTTCTGAAGTCTAAAAGTTAATAATAAGTGAACCAGACTCCTTAACTGAATCAATTTGCAACCCTCAAGTGAAACATGACATGCAGCGTTTTCCTGAAAAACGATAACTTCTCCAGACTATTGTTTTTCATGTACTCGGCGAAATCAACCGATCGCCATAATGACGCATGTCGAGATTTCAATTCTCGGGCAAAATCAATACGAGCCAGCCTTTGCTGCGCGTTCAATGCTGGCTTGACGTCAGCCGAAACTTGCCGCATTTTAAATGTCTTCATTCTTCTTTGCGGAAGGGAGTATGAATGGCGAGGAACATCTTCCCGTTGAATAGACGACAACAAATTTCTGTAATTTTTTTCAGAGTAATACGAATTAGGTCGTCCTCCGGTTTGGATATACTCGGTTTATGACCTCCACAAGCTGTTCTGGTTGTTTTCCCATGGATTATCCTGCAAATCGTGCTTTTGTTAACGTTAACGCATTAGGCCAGATGTGACATGGAAAATCCCAGCTTTTGTGCTCGTACAATTCTATTTCTGTTCTCTTCACCGAGATAGTGAAAACTTTTGGTTTTGATGGCTGCTTGCTTCATTATGATGACAACATTACGAACATTCAAAGCTGTGCATAAAAAGTACCTTGATTTCAAGGTTAACTTTGATTATATTGGTATTTCCCGAATTCAGTGAGTTAGATATCAAACATAAATTATTATTATTATGAAACCTTATTTAATGTCATTTTCTCGGGTTGTGAAAGAATTTCATTTGGTTATTCGATAGAGTTGCTATAATATCGGGTGAAAAAACTGCCTCATAACAAACAACCGAGATGGCAAGGGTTTATGGAAACAATTTGAGATCATTCTCAAGTCATTCCTATCAGAAAATATTGCATTTTCACACTTGATAAAGTTTGCGATTTTCATGTTGACATTATTTACTCTTGGCAGCCAAGATCAGGCACATTTAATTGACACTCATACAGACGATAAACTACGTAGGGCGAAGTCGACAAAATATAAATTATTGTCAAAGCCTAAAGTACTATTATAGGTGATAAATATAATGAAACTCAATTTAACCATAAAGAAAATATTTTAGTGCATCACAATCGGCCAGTACTGCAGAAGAAGTATTGATCAAATCGATAGTTAATGTAACAGAACGATGCATTTCAAACCTTTTCGTGAAGTCAAACTCCTACAGAACGAAAAACGATCAGCTGTCGCCACAGTCAGATTTGGAGAGGTAGAGGAACGTTTTTGTGCACGCCTACCACAATATATATGTGTTATCTTATTATTTCCTGCAAGTAACACGTTGAATGTTTAGTGCGGAAATCTCGCTGTTCTCTCAACCACTGCTCGTCGTTCCATTTCGTTAGGCGTGTGTGTAGGTAAAATACATTCATTCCATTTCACGATTCACTGGCTCGGTTGCCTTTTGTTGTGTCTGACAATAGTTGGGCCGTAACATTTACCTCTAAGGAAAACAACACAAATTGAATAGTTTGCTATGCTATGAAGTTCATTCGATTGATTTTACAGATATCGTGTCAGGGTATCAAGGTTATATATCAATTGTGATAGTTTATATACTGTTGGAGGTCGAGTGAGTGAGTATGTATGATGGTGTGTATTTGTGTAATGCGTATAACTTTTGTAAGCACCGGAGCTCACATTAAAAAACAGAGCCAACGCAGCTCATCCGGTAATATTTACAAAGGCGCAGAGTTAATGCCCCTGGGTAAGTCTGAGCCCCCCTCCCCAAGGCTACTGATAATTTGTCACTAGGATAAAAATCTTGGAATAATTTTGATGCAAACTGTATTGCTATAGGTACTGCGAAGTTTCACGGTAATATATTCCTATGGAGTGTTACTTTAACGAATCAAGCATGGTAGAAGATTGAAGTTACTGACAACCATCAAGCAAAATTTGTTCATTTTTTGTGGAAGTCTCCACTCTTGTGAGGACTTCTGAGAAAACAGTAGATAACCTTGTCGAAACTCTCCATTAAGTTGTTAGCACCCGCGTAACTTCCATGCCTATCGCTGTTAAAATAAGATATCAAATAGATCCTTGATGGAATTTTTTGCGTCAAAATCGAATTAATTATCAGCGGTTTTCAGCGTTGTTTTCCTCGATATATAGCCAGTGTATTTGATGTTATCTAACTGAGATATAAATTCCATACATGATTATGGTGAAAAAGTTCGCAGTAGCCTTTTAGCTTGAGATGGACTAGTTGTCCCGTGGTAACTCTCTGAGGCAGACATCTCTGGATCTCTCCAACCCCTCATGTTCCTTGTTCCAACCTGGTTTGATGTTATCGTCTTATTCCGCAATAGGATGTGTTCGCTTTCTCCCCACACTGAACTAAGGTGCAACGTTCTCCACGCAAACTCCATCCATTTACCGATTGATAACCTTAAACTTATCATCAAGACCTAGAAATCTCTTTCTTACTGACTAATTCAAAGGAAAAATAATGAGTGATGATGAGTTCAACTAGCGTGCTGTGAACCTTAAGATAGATCC